CCGACTGACCGACAAAAAAAAAAAAAAAAGACAAGCTCCGTGGGGGTCCAGAAATTATATTTTTATACGCAGAATTGTAAATTAGATTTTTTTTGAGAGATCAAGACTTAACTGAATCACATTTCGTTTTTTGAAATAGTGTAAAATATGAGAATATATTATTTTAATTTAAATAGTTTCAAAGGTAACGTCATTTCCTGTATTGTTTTCCATGTCTCTCTTAAGTATTTTGCTTTGTAAAAAAAAAAGACAAAAAAAACCCAACAACAAAAAAATACCCCAACCACAACACTGGGCCACGTTCTTGGAAGTCAAGACTGTTACGCAAGCTTTTTATTTGCAAAACTGTAAGAAACCTTGTTATTTTTAACGTCAGAAAAGTTTATTAGAAAATAATATTTTTTAAAAAGCGCACATGGCAGCAATTCTGTGATGCTGGAAATGGTAGTTTGTACAGAAGGGGGGAAAGGATGTTTTGCATTAATAAATTGAGAAATAACTGCTGTAAATTTACTAAAATGTATTTTTGAATATTTTGTAATAGTTTTAATAGTTTTATAGAAATAAAATGTGCCATGCACAGTCTGGTTAGTATATAATAACTAAGAGTTCCTGGTGCATCCCATTTTTTTTTCTTTTGGCCTATTTGTTTAGGACACATGATATCTAAAGGAGTGCCCATTAATAATGTGTTGCTTATATGTTTAATTCTGATAAAGTTAAGTAAATACCGGAGAGTACATCACATCAGCTCCTGGAAAACCTCAAATTTGCTGTACAAACAGTAGAACCTCACTTATTTGCACTAACAACTAGAAGATGTTTCTTGGGTTGCTAGAGACTGGACTTAATCTTGCCATCCTTAATCAGGCAAAACTCCAGCGCTCCAGATTCTTTCTTCACTAAAGACCTCAGAAACTAGTGGACATCTTTTCACTGACTTTCCTGAAGTCTAGCCTGGGCCCTTAAAGCAAGCTGATCTGCAGGTGGCCGCTGTGCTTGCGCAGAGTCTCAGTGCCTTGAATGATTAGCTTGCAGCACTGGGGCCAAACACTGATGTGAAAATCCGGTAAAACTACACTGGATTCATCCTGTTATACCCAGAAGAAGAATCTGGCTACTAGACTTTTCTGACGCACTTGCCTGAGTAAAGATGACAGGATTGGGGCCTTTTATAATTGGCAGGTAAGAGAACAAAACAGAATTCAGAAAGAGAGTACAGCATATCAAAAAGTGCGCTGTTCCTTTATTCCTCCATGTACATGTAAGCTGGTTATGGTAATTCCTAAGATACTAGTTAATCAATGTACTGGCATGTATTTTATAACAGTAGGATGCAGCCCCAGTGATGTGGCCTTGCAGCTGTACTCTGCTCTGAAATCTTTGCTGAGGCGAGGGGTGTGAGCAGGCGGTGTGCGATGAGGACGGCCACATTTGCTGATTAGCAAGGTGCCAGTTAGCGAGGTTCTGCTGTGTTTTGTGAAATTTTCCCTAAACCTCAAATGACATTTTTCTTCTTTTAAAATTATGCAAAACCATGTGTGGACATGCGTGTGCGACAGGAACACAATCGAAGGAAGAGTTTCCTTAAATGCCTTTTCACTTTTTCTTCTGTTCGCATTACTCTACCATTTAAGCTGCTTACGCTTAAGTTCCCGTTTTGCTGCAGAAGTTTAGCGAAGTCCGCCGCGGAGTTGGAAAAGACCTGTGTTGCACTTAGCAGGCTCTCTGAGGCGTTTGGAGGTCTAGGCTTTTGTAGAGTTAGTCTTAAGAGGGGGAGGATGTCTCTGGAGCAGCAATAGGTTGTCATGGCCAAATGCCAATCTGCCTACATCTGTGTAAATGGCTGATAATTGGATGTGCTTTCTGTTCTCTGGCAGTCTCAAGTCTTGGCATCTTTTCCTTCAGAAGTGTCTGGGAGTGAGCGCTGCAGTGTCTCGGAGTTGTGAACTGTGTCAGAGTATAGTCATGTCTTTGGGGAGGAGGTTACGTATTCTGCCCTCTTTGTGGCATTGCTTTAAGGCCCAACCCAACTTCCACTAAGGTAACCGGGCACTGCACCGTCATTTAGTACTTGCGTTAGGAAGTACTAAATGACAGCACAGCAGCGGCTGTTACTGCACCGTCCCAGCGGCAGACAGTTGTTTTTAGCAACTACATCACCATAGTGATGCACTATAGCGAGGTAGCTTGTCGCTACAGCAACGTAGCATCGGCGCTATGGTTTGTGCCCGCCAATGCTGTGCCACCATAGCAATCAGCTACGTTGCCGTAGTGCATTGCTATGGCGACATAGCATCACATGGAGACGCTCCCACTGAATCTTTTTACTGATCCTGAAAGGAGGTGGAACAGGCCCTTGGGCAACTCTGTGGGCTCAAACGATGACTACCTCTGGCGCTGCAAACTGTCTGCCCCCAAAACGTGGTAGTGTCTAGGTACCCTCAACTCATATCACGGCACTGTAAATGGTGTCTCCTCTCTGACACTCTAATCAGTCTCTGCTCAAAATATACCAGTATTTGGATTGTATTTGTGGAGTGTCTGGATTCATAATGATCAGACTGTGGCAGTAGCCGAGGCTTTAATTACTTGCCGCTCAGTGGCAGCATATGGAGTGCTGCCCGCATTGTTTGATTGGCTAGGGTTGTAAACTGCTGCCACCCCAGAGCGGGGTATTGCTTGGGATTGTGGACTGCCCATCCCTACAAAGCGATGGCCTTTAGGTCTGTAAAGTCATTCTGTCAGATTGTGCTGTGTCCATGTCATTAGGGTCGTAAACTCTCTGCCATTAGTATGTGCTGATGCATCTGGGCTTATAACTTCCTTGCGCTCAGAATATAGATATTTCTGGATATGTAAAATATGATCTAAAAAAAAAAAGTCTCTGAATTTTTAAGAGTTTTGTCCTTAATGTGGCAGTGTCTGGGTATCTAAGCTCTCTTACCAATATCTCTGAACAAAAACTGGCATTTTGTAAGGCCTCTACTGCTGGAACATGACAGTATTGAAGGCTTATTTAGAGATCACACAATTGCAGTGTTTAGGGATGCAGGCTATTGAACTCAAAGCATGGTTGTATTTAGGACTGCAATATAAATCATGAATGTTAGACATAAATGAAGACCTAGTAGATCATAGCCCATCCCTCGAAAAAGGCAGGACATAGTCCCTAGATGGAGGCCGTTTCAGATGCTGACGCATTTGTTCTTAGCCAGAAGACCAAGCTCAGATCATTTAAGTGTGAGAGCAGCTAAGATGCTGTGTTTTATTAGGATCAACCATTTTAGTCAAGTAAAGAAATGCTGTGCTGTGTTTTCATTGCACATATTTCTAATGACTACATGCTCCCCTCTCAACATATATTTATTACATCTCTTAATGATGCCTTCAGAGCTTTACAGATTGAGCACCCCTCCGTCATACTTATTAGAAGTGCTTTGTTAGGCGGATCAATAGAATCTATAAAGCTCTCATATGAAGGATCTACTGTCTTAACATTGTGCAAAAAGTTTAGGAAATGTCACGATCCATTTTCAGGGTCTGAGTATGGCAATAGTTTGTATAAAATGTACACGTAGTGGTGGCTACAGAATAGTTTATGACTAAATACATATCTATTACTGTTAAAATAATGTATAAGAATGTACTTGAAGCTATTATTCTTGTGCTCTGTTGTTTGAATAATTAAAGAAATTACAGAGACTTCCTGAAATGTCTGTTATGTGACAGCATTCCTATCACATACTCTCAGCTATTTGGGTTCTTTTTTTCCCCTGTGACATTTAAAACAGAATTTGGAGAACTCACGGTCTACAGTTCTCTCCCTTAAGTGCATAGCTATTATGCAGCTGTGTGATTTTGCACTGGAAGTGCAAAGGCACTGAGGCCTCACTTCAAACAAGAAAGGAATTCTAGGTGTGCCATTTAGTGCAACAATGGGAACCCTCTTTTCTCCCAGTGCAATAACCATGTAGACCGCATAATACGTGCATGTGAAATACTGTACGGATGTGCAAAGAAAACCAGTTTATTAAGTGTTTTGGCAAGAAAGAGAAGATGAGAATGTTAGTGCATGAAATACTGCATGTGCCTTCTGGTATGCCCCGAGCCTCAGAATGAGAAGTCCTTTCAAGGGATTTTTTCCCTGTTTTTATTCATCTGATCTGATGACCCTCAGAGCAGCCAAACCTAAATCCACGTGCACCACAAACATTAACGAAAGCCAGTGAAGGTTTCCATGCCCAATGCATACTAGTTTAATTGGCCAAGCCAGACACCAGAGTATAATGAGTATTTATTCTCTTGATGGCCATTCAGTACCAGTTGCAAAAGCACACTCTCTCTCCCATTAGCTACAGAAGTCTGTATTTCTCTGTGATATACATAAATACTATTTACATTTCAGCACTCTGTATATTCTAGTAGGTTATAAATACGTTGGCATCAGTCTGAACATTTGACTTCATACTAAAGTTAAACAACAGAGTTGAATTAACTGAGTTTGGTGATAATTGGATAGCAATTTTGCAGCTTCAGCATGACACACATTTCAATTACAATGGAAAGGAAATACAAATGTACATTTTATTTTACTCATTACTGCAAACCATAGGGGATCGGTAGATGTTCTTAAGCCATGGAAATTTTCTTGTTAGCCTGCCTTAACCTAGTGCAAATTTAGCAAAAGAAAAAAAGTTTGAAGAAGTCCATAGGTTCTGAACCTGCATGATTAAAACAGTGGAGTTTTACCAGATTTTGCTAGGTTCAGTATTCCCGCTAAGACCCAAATATTTAAAAGTGGCCTTTCATTTTTGGTGGCTGAATATTTGGATGCTCAAATTTAAGGTCCTTCAAAATCAAGTTCCGTGTGTCTATAGCATTCAGAGGGATGATCAAATCGTGCCCAAAGCTA